GACAAGAGCTTCCAGAGGTAGCAGCAAACACTTCTCTCATCCGGCTCCTCAAACATGAGTTAACATCCAAACAGGGGTCCTATCACTGTGAAAGTTTTAGTGGGAGGAATTCCAAACTCTCAAATCCAATTTGGAACTACTTTTTGCTGAAGGGTCTCGGTGTAACTTGAACATGTATTCAAACTTTGGATAAACATATCCCTCTTTTGAAGTACGACAGAGCCATCTGATTGTCTTTGTTCCTAATTAACGTGAGACCTGGGGCACTGGCCTCGGATTCAATAGCGCGTGCTTCTTAACGAGAGGCAGGATTTCCAGTGCAAATTCAGAGGCTGCTCTTTTGGAGCCGATGGAGAGGTCGAGGTCGGGGACAGGCATCGGTGTGGGGTCCAGGAGTACTGGACATGATTTTCTAGACACCAGAGGCATTTCACCCAATGCTTTCTAGAGTCTAAAGTGATCTATGTTGGAACCAAGTTGGGGGTGGGGTGGGAAGGGGAACTAAACAAACAGCATCTCCAAAGCCCTAAGTGGAACAAATGATTTTCACTGGGCTCAGGGTTAAAATGTTGAGAAAAGACTCCGTTTCTCCATTAAGGTGCCAGGCTGCCCTGGTGGGCTAGGAAAAGTAATCCCATGCCTATCTGGCATGCAGCAATGGGAGACTAGCCAGGGCACTGCCTGGGAAGCAGGGGTCTGAGAAGGAATGAGCTGAAGTCAGATCAGCGTTCAGGTTGATGGCAAAAGCCCTGAATCACGAGTCTGTTTACTCAAGAGCCTAGAAGAGCCACACAATCCACTTGTTTGCTTTTTAGATCTCCTTCCCATGCCAGGGAGTATAAATCATTTGTGTGCAAGGCCAGATGCACACCCACACTCTCACAGAAGGCACGTGCCACTGAACAAACAGGCAGGTGACATTTCTACATGTACGATCTTCTGCCAAAGCCCCTTTAAAACATTTTTATGTTGTTGTTACTCCCAATCTCACTACCAATGGTGTGAGCCTCAGTAAGTCTCTTAACCTCTTTGGGCCTCAGTTTTCTCATTTGTATAGAGAGCACCTCCCTACAGGGCTATTTTAAGAATTAGAGTTGATCTACACAAAGCACCTAGCCCCAGCGTGTTTCAAGGTTTGAATGCGATTGAACATGTGAAGGAGTTAGACCACAGTGAATATTCAATATAAGGTAGCATTACTGTTATTATTTCCTTTTAAGCTCATGGTCACATATGAAGCAGCTTTTCTTCTGACAGAGCGCTTCACAGAACAGCTGGATGCTAACTCAGCTCCATGCTGGCCACGTGTGTGGCTTCGGATAAGTCACTTTGTCTCTCTGAGCCTGATCTCCAAGATGAGGGCTGGGAATCTTGTCACTGTCACCCCCTAATGAGGTTACAATCCAAAGAACAATTCCTCTGCAGTCCCATGTCTGCAAACATGTTCTAGATGGTTCTGAGGAGATCTCTGTAATCCATGCTTGTTTTTCCAGGTAAGGCAAGCTACCTGCAGTCACCCATGCTGGTCATTGTGGCTGACTTAGGAGTCACACTCTTTCTCTGTTTTGATGCTGTGTCTGCGTCATTGTATTTTCCTTGAGGACACATGCCTGGCCTTGCCTTTCACACACCCTCAGGATTCACACAGTCACATTACATCCCCTTAATAAATGGGAAACAAATATTTGGAGAACCATCATTTGTGGACACCTTCTCCTAGCAGCCCAGTAATGAATCGTTCACTCCCAATCAGCAAAGCAGAGCTTGTGTATTTAAATTTGAGTCCAGAGGCTTCCAACTGCTTGTCCACAGGTCAACTATTAAGAGATGTCTGGCCCACCTACAAAATGCTTCAAAATGTTTTGAGTTGGTATCCAATGTCTAGAAATTGAGAGACTTTTCATAAAAACAAATCTAGATTTCAGTTTCTATTGAAGAATCGGAAGATCTGGCAGCAATCGAGGCTTAGACAATCAAAGCAACTAAAGAAAAGCTGCCCTTTCTCCTGCGCTACAGCTCACTACAGCCTTCACTTCCCACTTTCCAGAACTATCTCTGACTCTAGCTGTTAGTCATTAATCCTCAAGGCTTAAGATTGGACTTGGTTTGCCGGGACCAGTTTGGCTCAGTGGATAGAGCGTCGGCCTGCGGACTGAAAGGTCCCGGGTTCGATTCCGGTCAAGGGCATGTACCTGAGTTGCGGGCACATCCCCAGTAGGAGGTGTGCAAGAGGCAGCTGATCGATGATTCTCTCTCATCGATGTTTCTAACTATCTATCCCCCTCTCTTCCTCTCTGTGAAAAATCAATAAAATATATTAAAAAAAAAAAAAAAAAAAAAAAGATTGGACTTGGTTTGCCTGCATCTAGGTTGTGCATTACATTTAGTGTGTTTTTCACGAAGCACTCCGAATATGCTCCATAAATGTGAGGAGGGACTAACTTGACTAAAGTTTGCAAACATGTACTAGATGGTTCCAAGGAGATCTCTGTAATGTATATTTAAAAATAGTATTTTCCCCCTCCCCCACCTTCCTAGATAGACAAGCTTTCTACTCCTTCATGGAGTCAGAGTAAAGAGATAAATCTCATGTCACTTATCAAAGCAAACTGAAGCACAAGAAGTAAACAGAGGCCCGAAAGGCAGAAAAGCAATTTTTTAAAATTAATAAATGATGAGATTATTAACAGCACATGAAAAAGGTTTGCTTTCCCTCTCCCCTTTAATATGATTTTCACCTTAAACATTGTGTCCCTTTAGGAAAGGGAGGGAAAGTTAATAAAGGAGCCTATCACTCAAACTTAATTTTTAGTATGGCAAATAAACTGCTTTAATGAAAGGGCTGAAATCCCCAGGTTTGCGCATTAAACTTTCATTCGTTGTGGAGAATGGAAATTATCGATTCAGCTGTGGCATCATGCATTTTGAATCCCACAGTGGCTCGGAAGCCCGCGTTACTGCTGGGTGCAAATGTGTTGGCAGCGTTTTGATACGGGGCGAGCAGAGGGTGGGTGAGGGGCAGGGAAAGGAACACAGAGAAGGGAAAGAGGCAGATTGGCTCTTCACAGAAAGAGAATGATCAATATTTCTTGTTGCCAAGATCCACTTAGACAAAGCACTGCTTCTGACAGCATGATGGGCCACGGGTACGTTCTGAGATCAAAAAGGCTGGGCTCACTCGGCCTTTTGGGAAATGCCTACAGCTTCAGAGATCACTTAACAAAAAAACCACACAGAACGGATGGCTGATGATTTGATCCTAAGTTCTTGGGGAAGTTTGGATTTCAAGAAAAACAGTAGGGAAGAAAAGTATCTTTCTCGCTTCAAGGTCAGGATGTCCATCAGGGGAACAGTCAATGTCTGACATTCTAATACTGAATTGGATAGCACAGGAAAATCAATCCAAACCACAAATACAGCTCTCAACCTGGTGTGGCCTCATCAGAGAGTCAGGTGACAGGAGCATACCATCTTTACTTAAAGCACAGACATAGGTTTGTTTTTCTTTTAAAAGAAATTAATTATCCTACCTCTCAGAGGACCACCCCGTATTTAAGCAACGCTCAATTATTTCACCCTTAGAGAACTCATAGGGATTGATTCTAGGCCGAAACTGAGGCAACCTGAATCAGGCCTATTTTGGGGTCTTTGTGTACCATAGACTGTATGAGATCAGGAAAGATGATTTCTAATCATCTTTAGAAATAAGCTAAACTCAATTGGAAAAGTAAAGGAAGGAAGGAAGGAAGAAAGGAAGGAAGGAAGGAGGAAGGAAGGGGGAATGGAAGAGAGAGAGAGAGGGAGGGAGGGATGGAGGACAAAAAAAAAAAATAAAGAAAGGAAGGAAGGAAGAAGTCATAATATATTCGCCAAAGAGAAGGTTTTGCTTTGCTTTGTGTTTGTGTTTGTTTTGGTTGCCTCCCAGCTAAGATGCTCTTACACCACTGGTCTCCCCTGTCAGTCTGGCTGTGGGACGAGCAGCTCTGTTGAACTAAGAAGTTCTGGTTGTACGTTTTCAGACATAGATCTGGTGCCATCTATAGATTTCCGTTCTGGGAGAGGTTTCTCTTTTGTCCTACTTTGTGTCAGACTTGCCGTTGTGAGATGAGACACCTTCCCCTGGTTGAAGAGGCTATGAAGAATGGGGCTCATTAATCAGCTGGCAGCTGCCCCCCAACAGGATGCTAGGTGGGGTGTCCGGGAAAGGGAGGCGGAGGAGGCACGCTCCATTCAGGAGCTCACCACTGGCTGTCAGAGGGGGCCTCAAAGCCAATGGTACAGCCTCCTGAAGAGCCCCATCACGTAAAGTCTGAACTGAGAGTGACAATCCAGGCGCAGAAGCCTTGGTCTGGAGGAGCAGGCTCTGGGCCACCGTTATTTTTCACCTTAACCCTTGCATAGATATTGTTTACTGGTCTGATTATTTTCAGATGCCTGGAATGTTCCTTTTTTCAGTCATTCCTTTGTTCCCGTAGATTTTGTACATTAGTTCACTAGTGTATTGATTCTATAACTGATTTTTCCTTTTCAAGTCTCAGGAGGGTCCTCTCCACCTTTAGGTAAAGCCAAGCTGCTCAGTCTGGCACATAAGGCCCCTGTCTTCCCCCTCCCTGCATCCAAATGTAGGCCACACCATTCCCTATGCTGTTCCCCACTCACAATATTTATGTATATTTTCAAAGCATTGCATGTGCTGTTCCCTCTGCCTGGAACAGCTTTTTATCTCAGCCTCTTCCCGTAGCTCAATTCTGGGCATCTCTGCAGACTCAGCTTCACAGGCCTTCCATGTGGAGTAATTATCCCTGACATCCACAGCTCGTGTTCCCTCCCTGTGCTCAGCTCTCACCTCACTCCTCTGTAACGATCTGTGTCCCCAGGAAATATCCTTTGAATAAATAAAGAGCACCACTTTCAGCTCCCTCATGGCCTTTATGTATCAGAACAAAGGGATGAAATCAACCAGCGCCTCCCCAGTCAGGAGCCAGAATAGCACCTCTTACCTTTATGGTTTTGGTCTGGAGTCTGAGTCCATTTAAAGTGTTGATGGCTTTCTCTGCATCCTTTGGATCAATATAGTTAACGAATCCATACCCTAAACTCTGTCCTGTGGAAACATTTTTTAAAAAAGAGAGAGAGAGAGAGAAAGAAAGAGAGGGGGAGAGAGAGAGAGAGAGAGAGAGAGAGAGAGAGAGAGAGAGCGCTCAATATCTTTATAGAGGAAATATTTCCCATTGCAGTGAATCCAAACCCTCCTAGTATATGGTTCCTGTTATACCAAGATTTACCCACAGGCTGAGAAATTTCAAATTCTTTCATGTTTCATTCTGGTTAGTTTTTGAGCTCATGAAGCTGCCTATGCTGGGAATGGGTAAGCACTCCTGCATACCCACACCATACTACCCTGTTTCCCCAAAAATAAGTCAGTGTCTTATATTATTCTTTTCTCCCAAAGTTGCGTTAGGTCTTATTTTCAGGGGATGTCTTATCTTTCCACGCACTAGGTCTTATTTTCAGAGGATGTCTTATTTTCGGGGAAACACGGTAGTATATACGCCAATGTCCTCTTATGGAGAAGAGGCAGGACAGGGTAGTGTTATTTGTTAGAGAGAACTGAACTGGAGTCCCAGGAATTTCCCTGTAAACTGTGTGACATCTCAGAAATGTGAGGGAGATAGGAGATTAAATGACTTGATTAAATGATAAGAGAGGGTTGATGAGATACTGTATATAAAATGTCTACCAAATACATTGCCTAGAACATAATAGCTGCTCCACAAAAGACAGCTCTGCTATGCTTAGTCCTTTAAAACTGGGGCAAGTGCTGGATGTGGGAGCTGTGTCTGCTGCCTCAGTCACGCCAACCACACCCACACCTGGAGGAATGAAGCAGGATCTGAGCAGCAGATATCGGAGGAGACATTATAGTGAAGGCATGGCCAGACTTTAAAGCAATTGCTGCAAACAATTCGTTGCCTCCATCATTCCCCTAGCCCAATAATCATAAAAGAGGGGTGCGTCCTAATGGAAAGGACCGAGGAACTCCTAACTCAAAGGAGTGGTGTGCAGGCATTCTTCAAAGAGAATTTAGCTCCTTTGGCGGAGTTGGCACCCACTTGTCTGCAAAGAGAGGTGGCAAGTGACAGGGCTCCCCCCTAAGTGAAATAAAAATAATGTGTTTGCGATCGTGCCACTGATTATAAATAGTCCATCAGCTCTGCCATGTGTCATCAGCCAGAAATATCATTAGGAAACTTTACATTTACTGACATACCCTTTAAGAAACACTGGGCTCAGGGTGGCTGCAAACCCAGATGAAACTTCCCAGGCAATGCTATTGATTTGTGGGCGGCAGCAGAGCGGAAGGGGAGGAAAATGACAGGACATCACATGTCAGGGAGGACTGATTACATAAAGCTCCCTTTGGAGTACAGGGGCCGGGGCCAGGAGACAATACAACAAAAAGCCTGCCATGTCCTGGTGACAGGAGCCCATTTCAGCAGCCAAAAAAATCTTTCCAACAGCTTCTGTTTTGCTGGTAAATGTCTGTGTTTGTGTCTGTTGTAGGAGGGAACCTGGGAAAACAAGTTGGGTTCTGGATCAGAAAGTGGGTGACTTTGTTATCCTTTATAGGAAGGAAATAAAGAGAATCATAAGGAAACTCAAATGCATTTTTTTTTTTGGTCACGCAAATGACAATTCTCTCCATTAGCACATTCCTTTGTGTTTTGGAATAACAACAGAGTTAGAATAGGAAAAAACAGGGGAAGGGGCAAACTTTTCCAGATATGCCCTCCACCAGCCAGAATTAGTAACTGAAAAAGGAGGAGAGAATGCTGAGTAGCCTCCAGACATTGGGACTCTTCTCTTCCCATTTCACTGTGATTGTGGTGTGCGTCTGTCTGTGAGTATGTACACAGAAGAGTAAGTGTGAGAGAGAGGTGTGTGTGTGAATTACAAGACCTTGCTACATGTCCCACAAAATTTTCTGCAAATCAAAAGAGTAAAAGACTAATTTCATTGGTTTCAAAACATCATTTGTCTTAAATTTGTCTTCACCTCAACAAGCCTAACTAAATTTACCTAATTAAATTCATTTTCAATCATGCAAATTTCCATTTTTACCATGCAAATTTATTAGTCCTATTTATCTTGTATATAAGAGAAGCCTTAAAAACGACTGAACTAAAATATGTTTACAGTTATTTATTTTCAACAGTCTTGCACCAAGTTGGGCTGCTTCAAAGGGCATTTAAAAAAGCAATAATCTCAATGATAACCTTAGGTATAAGTTCTAGGAAATGAGTCAGACAGTCAGCCTATCCCACTAAATATTTTGTGTAAAACTAAAATGAAAAAATATAGACAAAATGCTCACCACTTAACTGCAAACATTGAACCTAAATCCAAACAGTTCATAATTCATCACAGTGATGGAATATCTGTGGAGGAATTTATCATGCCTATCAGTGATGCATGTTCCCTGATAGGCTATCTTTCTTTCTAATTATTCATATGTTTACGGAAATCTGAAATAAATAGTAGAGCAGCTATGATTGTTATACATTCTACATTTTACCTTTACTAGAGGCCCGATGCACCAAATTCATGCAAGGGGCTTGGCCCTTGCAGCCCCGGCTGCCTCGGCCCATTGCAGCCCTGGCTTCATCTGCAAGGTCGTTTGGCTGTCTGGTCAAATTAGCATATTATGCTTTTATTATTATAGATTGTGGACCACTGTTCAGGGGAAGAAACACTCTCACGTCTTGGGGAGGTTCTGAAGATCAAGTGAAGGAAAAGAATCCTGAGTCATAGCTCCCCCCCGCCCTCCCCGCCACCTGTATCAGTCCCAAACCCACCATCACATTAGTACTTGACTACAGTATTATCATTATGCGCTCTAGCTTTAGAGAGAGACTGTGCTTAATATCAAGAAAGAGGGTGTTCTGGGGAAAGTAAAAACCAGATGAACATCCTTTTAGAAAGCAAGGGGGAAAATGATTGGAGATACTCCTTGATATGAAATAATGAATTGCAAACTCTAAGCAGAACGCTGCATTGAACAAGAGGAGGGCAGAAGTGGAAAGCTTGCCTGTGAATTGAAAGCTATGAGTTAAGCTGGCAGCCCAGGGAAACTACCTGTGGTTAACCTAGTTCCCAAATAGGCTTCTTCACGGGCCTCTTGCCATCGCAGGAGTCCTGCTAAGTCTAATAAAAAGTGCTCTATGGAACTAAACACCCTCTTCACAACAGCCTATAGAGGATTAAATCCCTAGGCAGAAAAGAGAAAATCCAGAGACCCATTTCTTTCAAAATTCTTTTAGTAGTGGGGGAGAGTAAAATAAGAATAATTTTGTGTTTTGGTGGCCATATATTGATGATAGGTTATGGATTTGCAGTTTTGTATTTAAATGTACATAGAGAAATATAGATGAAACACAGTTACAAAAAATACCAACATTATATCCATGGGGACCAAAAGAGCCACCATGCTGGGAAGGGACCCAGACAAGAGCCTATTTCTTTCTTGATTAGCTATAGCAAGATTTGACAATATAGGTATGACAGTAGTATTTTCAGAACAGAAAATTAAACTTCATTTTTGTTCTTAATTAATAAATTAATCTTGATAGCAAGTTGAATAAATAAAAAATTAAATTACTGAAGTTAATGTTTGCTGAATTTGCAATAAAGAAAAAAAAATCAATGAAGAGGTAAGATATGATGAAATAAAGACTGCCTCCAAAATTTAGAAACTATGGTGAGAACCTGGCTTTTTGAAGCCCAGGTGACCTACAGCCCTTACATGTGACCAGTCCTTGATAGTCCCGTCCAATGACTACCCACAAGGAGGACATGCATTCTTGTAAGTTTGGGCTAGCAACTTAAAATTAAAATGTAGTTTCCAAGGAAAACTTTCACACATAATGCCTACATTTTAAGGCATTTCAGCTGGGTTTTGGATTAAACAGGTTCTTTTCTTAACAAGGTTTTCTTAAATCTGAACCTGAGTATTTATGTTTTTGTAAATCACACATGCACAACACAAACTCATGCCGTGTCCTCCTAGTACGACATGGCAAAATCTATTCTGCTATAATAATTTCTAACTTTTCCCCTTAGAAATCAACCACTTCTCTCCCCCAAAACTAGCTTATAAAGATTTGCATCTTCAAACATAGAGGGTACTCAACAAATACTGGCTAAGTGAAAGAATAGATAAACACATTTGCACTACTTCTTCATTTCTGGAAGCATAATAACCAGATGTTTCTATGTTTGGGGGAAGAAGAAGTAAAGGGTGGGTCCCTGGGGAAAGGAGAGAACACGACAAAAAACTAAATCAGGAATGACTGGAAAACAAAACACAGACAAAAAATGTCCTAGGTGGCTTCCGCAGCATCGTTCAGGTGGATGATAAAACCCATCCCTGCCCACTTTCCACAGAGGCTCTGGGTTTCCAACGCGTTCCCTCCACCACAACCCCCATTCTGTTGCATTCAATTTCCACAACAGCCTGTGGGAGAGAGAATCATCATTTTACAGATGTGAAAACTGAAGTGCAGGGAAAACACTGCTTTTCCCTACGTTACAGAGCTGGATCTTAGTCTAGATCAGGAGATGGGAAAATTGTTTTATACATAGGGTGATTTGGCAAATAGTTTAGCATTGGTGGATCCTCTAGTCCCTGTCATGACTACTCTGCCATTGTAGCATGAAAGCAGCCACAGATGTTATGTAAACAAATGAGTGTGTCTGTGTTTCAATAAAACTTTATTTAGAAAAACAGGCAGGGGGCTCAATTTGTCTTTTGGGCCATAGTCTGCCCTGGTCTAGATCTTTTGACTCCAAATGTGGTATCCTTTGGGATAACTACAGTTACTCCATTTGAACTAAAATGTTTTTTTAAAAAAATATATATTTTATTGATTTTTTACAGAGAGAGAGGGAGAGGAATAAAGAGTTAGAAGCACTGATGAGAGGGAAACATCCATCAGCTGCCTCCTGCAACAACCCCTACAGGGGATGTGCCCACAACCAAGGTACATGTCCTTGACTGGAATCGAACCTGGGACCCTCCAGTCCACAGGTAGACGCTCTAGCTAC